AAGTATAGGAACTAGAGACAGAAGGAGATTAAAATAGCTTGACTCTCTACTATGATTGCTTTTAATAAAAACCTTTTGACTAGGTCACTGATACATTTCCCATTTGCATGTCCTCTGTGGCTGTCTGTGTCTTTCACTTCTAAATATTTTCCGAGGGGTGTGTTGCAGATAGTGGTTCTGCAGAAATGGCTTTATCTGCTACTGAATAAAAATAGAGGCTAACTTTGGGATTAGAGTTTACATTTAACACTTTTTGTTGCTTGGATGATTTATTAGAGAAAAGCAGGAAAAGTACTTATTCTGCCTTATGCAAATTACAATGAGCCCTAAAAAATTCAACTGTACTTTGGGACGCTGGGGGCATCCTAAGTATAAGTGTAAGTGATCAAAGTATGAGTCATTTTGCCTGGTTTCCCCTTGAAGTCCTGTGCTCCAGAGTGAGCAGGAAGATGGGCCTCTGGACTGGAGGGTTTTTGAGGCCTCCACAGAGGGAACACCTTGCCGTCGGGGTGTGAGTCAGAGGTTTACAGGTGAACAGTTTATCCGTGATGGTCCCTGTGTATAAGCCAACCACTTTGTGTATTTCTCAACCAAAAAAAACAGCATCTTATTCTGATGCTGGAGAAATGCCTGGCTGTATAGAACTATCCCTATGCAACATTTTCTGAAGGGGTTTTCAAGTATAATTTTGTCTCTATAGGACTTTCTTCTTTTATGGACTTTGGAATCCCACCTTGAGGGCAGCTGTGGATCATGGGCCTTTGACAGGACCATTTCCCCAGCAAGCTGAAGGAGGCGAAATTGAGATGATCTAAAGTACATCCTCCTTACTCCTTCTCCAGGCTTCTCTGTGAAAAGACTCTGTGCACCTGGCATGGATTCTGTCCCCTCCCTTAGCTATATTCTGGATAGAGGTGGTAGTCATCATTAAAACAAACCTTAAAGCTAACATCTTGGCAAGAGCTTAGTTTTGGAGGGCAGACAAACCTGGGTTTCAAACTCATATAAATGATCTTTCTGGGCCTTGCTTCCTCATCTGTCAGATAAGAGATTACAATATTAAATGGAGCTAAATGCAGTATTATACTATGTATATGGACATATATATGGTCCATTAAATGTAGTAATATAGGTAGACTTAAGTGGAGTAATATAGGTAGAATGTTTTCCAAAGAACTTGGCACATAGTAGGTGCCTAATAATTGGCATGCATTAGCATAATATTCCTGAGATTTATACTAACTGTGTCCTAGTTCTAGGCTTGCTGGGGGTAAAGGAAGGTATAAGTCTGCTTCCAGAGCTAAAGACCTAATAGAAATAGAAACTTGGCATATGAAATTTGAACTAACTACAGGAGGGTGAGAGTTACAGTCAACACATACTCCTACGCAATGCAGGGTCCCTGGTCATGTTCAATTAAGGAGCTTGTGTGAGAATGTAAATCAATGAACTGCCTCCAGGAAGATGGTCTTGATATAAGAAAAATGTCAGCTAAACTACCCAGTGTACTTAGTGAATCAGTTGATTTTCATTCTGGCCCAAGGCTGGTACTAAGCAGTTGCTCCATCCAAGTGCTGCATTTTGAGGAGACCTGCTCTTTGAGACTGTGTTATGTCTGCCACTTGGGGAGCCTCTTCTCTTTGTGTTTGCCCATATTTTAGATCTTTCATAGGTAATCTGAGCTAATGTTAGGACAAAATAGAGAGTTTGTTGTTAATGGATACCCATTGTGCTCCATTAAATGCAAAGCCCTGGATATACCACATTGCTTCTAGCCCTTGAAGGTGAGCATCTATTTAGCCAGGTACTGTTGTTTCTCATCAGTATGATCAGCGGAGTGGATGGCAGTGGGCTCTCCCTGCTTCTTTGCAAGGGTTCTTAATATTATTTTTTTGTGGACTCCTCTGGCCAACTATTCTATCTATAGACCATTTCTCAGAATGATGTTTTTAATAGTATAAAATAAAATCTGTAAGTTTACAAAAGAAGCCAATTATACTGAAATATACTTATCAAAATGTGAAAAACAGTTTGTGATGGTAATATATATTTGTTTCGTTATCAACATATTAAATAACAAGATCTAGCAGTGGGTCTAAGGATTTCCATTGTTCTGAAGAAGTGATGAACACCTGTGACATTTTGGCATATCTGCAGCAACTCTAATAGGTTATGAAAACACCTGTTTCATAGGCAACAAAGTCACAAGTACTGCTAACAATTATTGTTCATTGGTTGCATTATAATAGAAGGAAAATCCAGAATTTCAGTTAGAGTTTAATGGAAATAAGTATGTGTTCTTTACTCATCCAAGTCAAGGGCTGCCAGAATTCATCCTCCAGTTAAAAGCCCCTGCCTTAACATCAAGCAGGGAACAAGGGGAGTTCTAAACCTTCTTACTACTTTTCCTGGGACAGATATTTTGGGCTCATAATAAAAACCAATTAAATATCAGTCCCTGGTGAAACTCAATTATCATTTCCTTTTTCTTTATTTGGAATACAGAGGAGCAAGTTTTTCCCCTTTTTTATTTCACAAAGACTTAAAAAAGGCATCTGGGGCAGGGGATTGGCATAAGATATTCATTTCTCCTAATTCAGTTACGTGGATGCCTCTTCAGGAAAAGTTCTTGATTGCAAAGATGATCATAAGGTCCTATCTATTCCCAGGAGGATGAAAAATTGTTACACAAAAAGCTAGAGGGATTAGGGCCCCTTTTGGGGGAATTGGGCTGAGGAAGCTTCAAACACAGTCCAAGAGAGAACGGGATCTTTGAGGACTAGAGTCATCAGGGGAAGCTTCTGGAAGCCTTCTTGGAGCTGAGGGATAGATCAGAGTCCAAAAGACTGACTCTGGGAGGTGTGTTAATGGGAGTGGTACAGTCAGGTAGGTTTAGCCCAAATGAAGGTACGTGCGGGGTGAGCCTATACAGGTAGGCGGGCAATGATTGGGGTAGACCTTGCCTGAATTGCTGAGGAGGGGGGACGTCACTGACAGAGGGGAGTCAGTGATGTCATTTAACAGGAATCAGAGAAATTTCTGATTTAGGAATATTAACACAACCACAATGTTTCCCACTTGATGAACTGAAGGTGGGCAAAAATATGGACAATTGTTTTAGGATCAGATGGCAAGACTGGATAGAGAAATTTATACCTACATTTCACATAATTGCCTAAGGAGAGTATTCACCCAGAGAGCTTATTAATTATACAGATTACAGATAGTCCTCTGCAAATTATAGCCTCAGTAGGTCTGGGATCTGATGGGGAATTTATTGTTTTTAAAACAGTCCATGTGATTTTATCTTCAGACAAGAGGGAAACTACTCCACAGGAATGTTTGATGTGAGGGTGTCAAAGCAAAAATTGCACAGGGTACAGTTAAACAGGCAAAGAAGACTTTATTCAAGGCTCTGATAATAGAGGAGAGAGGCCAGGACTCAGTCTGAACTCAATGCCATGAAACAAAAGGAGGAAGGAAAATACTAGAGGATTTCAGGGGGTTTGATCCATGGGATGCATTGAGCACAGTGAGTTATTATCCAGTTTGCAAATGTTTTTCTCTGTGATGAAGTCACCTGTATTTGCTAATTGGAACCCAATTAACCAGTTAGCTAATTCTACCTTCCCAGGAGATTGGCAAGCAAGGGCACCATCTCTCTGACTGATTACATTTCAAAGGGATAACTCGTGATCCTTGAAAAAGACATTCCTGGGTGGTAAAACCAGCAAGAGGCTGGGAGATTTACATCTCAGCAGGGCAGAGAAAGACTTTAGGATGACAAGTCTACTGAAGTAGATGCTCTAAAGAAAAAGGAGATCAGAGCAAAGAGTCAGGAAGGAGCCTGTCTAGAGTTAAGTCAAGCTGACAGGAAATGTAAGGCCATCTTGGTCATGGTAAGGTACTCTTAATTCTGGTACTACCACGACTAACTTTGGGGTGGATTCTACCTGATTGAGAATGGAAAGGAAGAATTGGTGCTAGGAATATTGGCAAAGAAAAACCGACATTGCTTCCTAACTAATGTCAGGAATTGGAGAGGGGGCTACGGAAGAGTGAGCAGTCCATGTCTAGTGACCCTAGGCATGGATGAAGGCAGATGCACTCATGGAAATGGGATGTGCAGTTGGTTGGCAGAGGGGCGGTGCCAAGTGCCTCCGGCCAACTTGGTCAAGCATAGCTCTTAGATTCCTTTGGTAGGAACATTCCCAGGGCAGCACCAACAGTGAGTGGGAGGGAAGGGGAATGGCAGGGCTCTGGAAACCTCCTCTGGAGTGTGGTCCTTCCTGACAGAATGCTGCCTGGCAGCCTGGACTGTGCATTCACCACCAGCATCCTGCATGAGCGTCGCCCAAGTCACACACACCTCAGGGCACCCTGTAGATGTAATGGAGCATTTTGAAGTAAATCTCAGGTATTTTAGCAGCTGTGTTTTGTGGTAAACTGACGACTCCCACTTAGCTAGAGTTCTAGTATGAATTTGTTGGGAAACATGAGTAAGGAGGTCAGGACCTTGAGAGGCAGCCTGGGGAATGATCTCTGAAGATGTAACAACTGAAACCGTGGGCATGGATAAGATTGTCACAGAGTCACTGGGGATGTATGACAGCAATGTGTCTTAATATTTCCCTAGAGAGGAAATGTAAAGGGGGAAGAACAGAGGCCTAAGGATTCATGGTCATCTTAAACGGGCGTGGATGGTGCCCGTGTCCCTGCTCCAGCAAGGTCTACGGTGCCATGCCAAGAACTGTAGATGAGACCATTGATTTGCTCATCTGCAGAGAAGCTCAGTAAAGCAGCCTTGGCCAGTCCAATGCAGGAAGGAGGAGGGTGTGGTAAAAAAGAAGCCAGGGGCTCAGATGGCTTTTTCAGGGAGCCTGGCTTTGAAAGAAAGTCAGATGTAGGGAGAGAGCAGAAAAGTCACAGGACTGAGTTACTGGGACTGTATGATATTGATGTGTTTGCTTTGTTCCAATTACTTTTTTTATTTATCAGAAATGAATGAACAACCAGCAAAAAACAATTCTGCTCAAGAGGGACACACAGATCAAAGTTCTCCTGAGAAGAACCATCAAATCACACAGAGGCAACTGGTATGGCATATGGATGTTATGCCTGCATGGTATTTGGAAAGGTCTCAACGTGGGCATCTCTGAGATGACCCTGGACTTGGGAGGGAAGGTGGGCCCAGTCAGGACTGCACAGACAGGACCTCTACTCCTGTGCTGATGGGCATTTCCCTCTTCTTCACTGGAGCCCATGGGGCTGGCTTCCCCTCACATATCTCTTCTCTGCCTCTTTGTCCATTGATTTATAGCCCAGTGTTCTGTGCAATAAAACCCTGCCCTTTAAGTAGGATATGTGTGGAAAATGTAGTTAAACACGACAAACCCTTATTTAACAAACCTTTGTTTTTTTCCTATTATGGGCTAGTCATGGTTCTAAAACTTCGTATGTATTCCACTTGTATATAGTCCTTATAACAAGACACTAGGGTTTACCCCATTTTGCAAAAGGAGAAACTGAGACTTAGAGATGTAGGAGCTTGCTGAAGGCCCACCACAAACAAGAGGCAAGGTTTGAACACAGGTAGGCTTACCCTGCTTTCTTTGTTCTGAAACTCTTGCTCTGCTACCAAGAATAATAACAGATGTATACTGAAATGTATAGTGGTTCCCAACACCTTTATATTATATCACACTTATAATAATGTCTAGATTAAAATTTTGATTTATTCTAAATATTAATATATTTTTAAAATAATACAAACAACTTTTAAGTGAGAATTACATTTTACTTGTAAGTAATTAAATTCATTTTAAGCAGTAAAAAAAAAAACAACAGATGTATACTTCACAGCTACACCTAAAGACAGGATTGTTTTATAAGGTTAAGTTTGTAAAACAAACCCATACACACACTAAGTGAAAATGTAAAGAATCATATATGAATTATTTTAAATGGACAAGACTATTATTAAACTAAATGAACTGCAGATAAGCCTGAGATTCCATTACTAAAGTGCTACATTGAAATTCATACTTTGCAACTTTTGCTTGAGTTTCCAGGTACGGTATTTCATCCATTTGTCAGCCTATATATTTTGGGGTCAGATTCTCTTCGAAAATCCTTCAAAAGAGCATTCATATCTCTTGTGACAGATGTACTGCAGGCTCCAAATAAGTCATCAGGATTGATTGAAGCATCTTTTGCTGTTTTTCTTCCTAATTAGGCTCCATTTCATTTTGCAGTATAAATATTCTGAGATGAACTCTTTTGAAATATTTTTCACTGACTCTCTAGGAAATCATTTCAGCAAGATTTTCTTCTTCGGATCTGGCTTTGACTGGGCGTGGGCTCTTCAGGTGCCTCCACTGTGCACCGCAGCCCTGATGGAGTCCACCTTCCCGGGACTGGGAATAGTTCTGAACCACAGCTCAGGGCACTGAAGGGCAATGCTGTGTGTGCTGTGGTTTGAGACGCTTTACCTGGGCCTCTTCAGCCAACAGCTGCAGAAGGGTCTTTACACCCTGTGCTTAACCACCATCAAATGCCAGTTATGACTTTCATCCCCATCACATTTGAGAAGCCAACTGGC